GGTCCAGATAGCATTGGCATGTCTGTAAAGATCATTATTTTTGCCCCTGGAGCCGTTTGTGAGCAGGGCTAACTGCACACCCAGCGCTAACTCCAGGGTCAGCTGTAACACAGGGATGAAGACGCTAACGATACGCAGCCTGGCAGCTAATGCTTTTTCTAAATGCTCTTAATGATTGCCATCCCTAATGTGGGAGAGTTTGGGGTCTCTGTTTTTCGTTGTGCTTCATCAACTCACTGTAGCTGACAGGGCAACCAGTCTCACGGCATTTCGTGTTATAGTCACGACATTTATTCTATTGATTCGTGTTCACCAACACGATTTCCCCCTTTTTTCCGTGTCACACAGAACGATTTTAAAAGCAATGTATTTCTATTGGTAGTGTGTTTCGTGCCTGCAACACGTCTTTTTGTCCGGTCGGGTCTTGGAAGACCGGAAGCTGTGTGGTTCATAAAAACATTTTCTTACTCAATATCAAGCCACGATTATTGTTTTTATTTTAAATCGTATAATGTCTGACTTTTTTTGCCGTCCGCGAGGAAAATAAATGGGGCTCAGAGCCTCAGAATACTGAAATCTGAATTTTTTTTATCTTTTTTTCCTTCTTAATTTGTTATTCTTTTCTAAATAACACACTGCTATTTACTCAACAACACACAATTATCCTTGTTTTTATTTATTTGTTTAATTCTATAATCTCGGGCTTTTTTGGCGTCCGTCGGGAACTGAATTTCAAAATAAAATAACCGGAAACAGATACACACCCACTGAACTGATTACCCAAGATCCTCAGCTATGGTTTAAGCTCGATTGGATTGTTTAGCCCCAATGCACGTTGGGATATGGTGTTAATGCGATATGAAATCCGAAAAACATTTTGGAGTTTAGGATGGCCGAAGACACTACCCATAATCCTCAGCTATTGTTTGGGACTACAGTCCCTTTGCTTGACAAAACGTGATTAATATTCAAGCTCTGGGATTGGATGTTGGAGTGGCAGTGTGCCAAGGTTACGCCGAGCGTCAAACAGCTCTTTGAAATGGAACCCCCCCCAGAACTACACATGCTGGCTATTGTGTTTCGCAAAATGTTATGGGACGTCTCTACTGGGAACGTTTTCGTTTTTACCACAATTAGAAGTTGCCAGTATTAAACACATTGGTGTTATCAAATTTAAAACATATAATTAATAAATGGGTGAAAATTGCTTGTGTCCATAATCGGCAGCATTAATATATACCCACATGACAGCTCATTGTTACTTTGTAATTCTACTCCACTACAATTCAGAGGTTAACCTGGTATTTTTTACTCCACTACATTTATTTTGGTTACTTTGCAGATTCTGATTAATGATGTGAAATATAAACAACCCTTAAATCAGACTTTAGTTAAACCTGAGTAAAATTCAGTGAAGGTGATTGTCAAGTGCCAACAATCAGACGAGATATTTGATAGTTGGTGCTTGAGAAGACAAACATTTATCTGCAGATCCCTATAAAGTATATTCATTACTCGTTATTCTCTACTAATAGTTAATTAAAGACTGTATATAATGGCTATTTTGCACATCCCTTTCAAGATTTCAAGATTTTCTAAGGTTTATTGACATATCATATACACAACTACGGTGTAGTTATGCAATGAATGAAAAACTTGGGTCGCAGGTTCCTCAAAAGTGCATTACAAGACATCTATCAATATGTGTGTATACCTCCACCATTAAACTCATATTCTGCACATTTCTTATATTATCTACATACATAAGAGTATAATTAATATGTATAATATCAGTTAAAATAAGTGCTTCAACATAGTTAACATTGCAGGAAAGCAATATATTAGACGTTAAGTACTTTGTCAGGCTTAATATTTATCTGTAGATACCCCTAAAGCTTTTTTCTTATTTAAAAGAAGACCATAACCTAAAGTATTCTTTAATGTTTAAATAAAGGTTAATTTAGTTTTTCTGTTTTGCACATCCTCCTATTAATATCTTTGTACATCCGGCACTAAACTGTTTTATTGTAGAGATCACTTACAGTATCTTCTTGATTTTTTATATTCTATATTTCTATCATTGACCTTCTACTTTCCCCCTATTTTGTATGTACTCTTAATATTTTTTTCATCAAATATAACATATTAAAAAAAAAATGCAATAACGTGCTTTAACCACTAGGCGGCGCACACAAGGTACACACAGCATACAATGCCATAATAACTTTGTATTATTAGTGTAGGACACTTATGTATGTATAACATCTGAAGATGTGTAGTTTTATTCATGTTTTTACATAATTCTACAGGATATTGCTATATTATTTCACATGTTTTACTTCTACACATTAATATCTGATTTGTAAAACATCACAGACAGAAAGGTATATCCGTCATTTAATGGTAAGCTATTGAAATTCTGAATCCATAGATGTGTCTCCCATCACCCAAAACCCCTGACTATTCTTTCAACTCAGTATTTACATTCTTATATTCAAAGAAAATCAGTAATATCTTTAAAAACTATAAGTCCTTTCATATCAACTGTGCACCGTTATGGGGTAAATATAACCTATCTACGAATTGGATCAAATATAAAAGTCAGCTGAATTAATGTTGATACTGCAAGGAGACGTATTGTGTGAAGAGAAATGGAAGATGTTGTTTAATTGCTGATATATTTATGATCCACGTCACATATTCAGTTTCGGTGGCAGTTCTTCCAGTTTGTCCAAAGGTCTTCTAATCAGGGCTCTATAAATAGAGAACTACGGCAGATGTGTAATATTTAATGCAGCAGAACAGAGTATTACAATGCCGTTATGTGATGACTTTCAAAGAGAAAAGCAAGCACACTCAGATTAAAGTATTATTATTATTATTTTTTTAAATGTTTTTCGGATTTCATATCGCATAAACACCATATCCCAACGTGCATTGCGGCTAAACAATCCAATCACCGAGCTTAAACCATAGCTGAGGATCTTGGGTAATCAGTTCAGTGGGTGTGTATCTGTTTCCGGTTATTTTATTTTGAAATTCAGTTCCTGACGGACGCCAAAAAAGCCCGAGATTATAGAATTAAACAAATAAAAAAATACAGATTTCAGTATTCTGAGGCTCTGAGCCCCATTTATTTTCCTCGCGGACGGCAAATAAAGTCAGACATTATACGATTTAAACTAAAAACAATAATCGTGGCTTGATATTGAGTAAGAACATGTTTTTATGAACCACACAGCTTCCGGTCTTCCAAGACCCGACCGGACAAAAAGACGTGTTGCAGGCACGAAACACACTACCAATAGAAATACATTGCTTTTAAAATCGTTCTGTGTGACACGAAAAAAAGGGGAAAATCGTGTTGGTGAACACGAATCATGTCATCAATAAATGTCGTGACTATTACACGAAATGCCGTGAGACTGGGTTAGACAGGGACATGGCAGAGATTTCCTTTTTGTGATAAAGACCGACTTTAAATAAAACTTAGTCTTAGTCTTGCGATCTAGAGATCTTTACTAGCTATGTTACTCTAGATGGGAATATTCATTTGGGTTTTTCCACTTCTGTGACCATATACAGCTGTAGGTGACCATCGCTTTATTTATTTCAGTACATTAACATGTGTAATCCATCACAGATAATCGAACAAAAGCTGATGATAGCCCACACCTTTTGACTTTTTGATGGTGTAGTGTCACATTGTTGCATTTAAAGGCCCCAACATAACAGATACATCAAATCCAAGCCTATTTATCTTTATTGGTTCTTGGCTCTCAAACAATACTTGTTTTCTTTGGCTGTTTTCCTCAAGCACATGAAACATTGTTCCTACCGCAGTGATCATAACACCATCTGTTTTATATAAATGTTTGCATTATCCCACAGTAAATGATTAGACGGTTGTAGTATTCTCCTAAGAAAACCACCTTTATTCGTCTGTATACATTGTGGCGCAGACAGCCATTACTTTGCGATGCATTATCCCTTTGAAAGCAGACAACACGGCGGTAATGATGCTACGTTATCAGCGGCAGGATTCAGATGTTAACATCTGACTCTGGAGAAGCTGCACCATAATAACACATGACACATGTCTGCCATTAGTGAGAATTCTCCCCATGGTTGCCACACTTTCTTTTAATTTGACTCGGCTGTAATCTCCATGTGTTTTCATCTGAAGAACTTTCAACAGCTTGAGCCTAATCAAAGAGCCTCTCTCTCTTCTCTGTGTCTCTCGATAAGGAAATTCAATTAGCTTAATTGGCCTAGATATTATGCTCTGTAATGTGATGTAAGCATCAGTGTCGACAAACTTCACAGGGCACTTTGGAAGCACCTCGCTAATTAGAGCAATAACTTTAATCCAAATGTTTTACTTCGACATTCCAGATGATTCTAAATTGAAATCCAGGTAATTAGTTGAAACAACCCACGAGGAGATAGCTGCCGCCGCTTCTTGAAAGCAGCTGATGGCAAAGTATCACGGAAGCATTGGTTTATCTCTTTTTTTTCAATGTTTGACACATGACAGTACCAAAATAGAAAATCCACTTTTTTCCTTCTGACAAGATGAAAGCCCATTGTGTTTTTAGAACTGAACAAAGGATGGATTTGAAAAATGAATCTCATTAATATGGGAAATGTAATCCCTGCAACCAAGGCTCTTCTTTCGGAAATATTGTGAGCTCCCTTTCATCGGGACAAAACTGAAAAAAGGGCATTTTTATAAGCAGCGGAGACAACAAACTGAGGAAATGATTGCGCTTTTAGATCGATCATATATCATGGGCTACAACATGCTCTGCTGGTTAGGGTAATGGACAGGGAACAGGCCGTTTCTGGTGGCTGCTTTGCATCTAATGCTGTGCCCTTGGGCTAGATACTTAACCTTTGTTGTTCCAGCGAACACCGACTTAAAAATGGATATACAACTTTCTTCAGACACAAATCTCAGCCTTGAATAACAGTTGAAGACAAAAAGACGCCACACTCACTGGTAACACAATAAAACTGTATTACATTTGTGCTTAAAATTATTACAATTACAGTATTTACAAGCGTTGTCCTAAAAATAAACATCTCATGCTGGATGACACATAAAAAGAAATCATTGTACAATAGCAAGCAAAAATTAATATTTATTTTATGTACACCCACAATTTACAAAGTAAAGAAGGTTTTTTTTCAGCTAGAAATGGTGCTGAGCGCTGTTGCACCTGCTTGGATTTAATATTGGATTCAACCCCCCCCCGCAGCAGGGAGTCATTGAGACTTAGATGACCAGATCTGAAGGTGACCGACCCGCCGCAGAGTGCAGTTAACTGGCTGTGTTGGAAATTACACAGCCACCCCCGACATAAAACAAACAGTGATTGACAAATCATCGATTGGATTCAAGTATCAGCATGTCAAACAATGTCACATTTTGGACAACAGGTGATGCACTGAATGTTTATCAAATAAATAGTGTACAAAAACTACCCAACCCCCACCATCCCTGACCAATCCCTACAACCCTACAAACGCTACAACAACCTGCCTCCACCAGCATTTCCTCACATTTTCTGTTTGAGCAGTATGAAAGCAAGGTTTGGATAAATAGAAAGACCGTCTCCAGCAAAAAAAAAAAATATACAGCCGTCTTTCAGAACTAAGCCTGGAGTTAGAGTTCAAACCCCGGGCTGCCAGAGCGCGGCTGAAAGGGGCTCTGGCGGAATGCATTTCAGGAATCGAACCTTGACTCATGTCGATTATATGAAAGATAATCTTGCACAACCACACAGTTGTCTACAGGCATTAAGTCTGGTCCATATGTTTGAAGCCGCTTTAGCTATTTATTTATTCAGATGTTGTTGCCTAACATGTTTCTTGCCTGTTAACACATCCAGATTACTTGCACAGCAGTTCAATAATTGGGAATTCAAAAGATAAAGCAATATTTGCAGGTTAACGAATGTTGGGTCAACCTGCAAGCAACATTAGCGTCTCATTGGGTTGGTGTTTGTCCAACAGATACATGAAAATCCAATGTTTACTCTCCTTTTAGCTCTGTTTTGGTCTCCTCCAACCACTCAAATATATATTTTAAATATCTGGCTCTGTAGCTAACTAGTTGCTAACTCCAAATAATGTTAGGTGCTATGCAGGCTAAAAATTCAGAAGAATTGAAGATTGAAAGGGTTTCATCACTATAGCAATGCTTTCCACATTAAACACCGTTCTATTCATTGTTCAAATAAAGACTGACCACTGTAGTTTACATGCCATCAAATGCGTCTCCCTTTGACCAGCAAAGGTCTTTTCATTGATATTCAAATAGCCAATTACATTCCTCTGTGACAGTATTCTTCAAGGGTGACCTGGCTTTATTGACGTTATGGAGTATATTTATGTAGTGATTGTGTATGAGATTCTATTCATCCAGAGAAACACATTGATTATTTCCAAAACTCTGATTTTGTGCCTGTGAGCCAAAGCAGCTGTGTGATTGGGAAGCATGTAAATATCATGGAATCTTAAGGATCTGAACCGACTATATGGACAAGACTTAGCCTCGCAGGACTGCATGACGGATACATTCCCAACATGCTCACACACACACACACACACACACAACCATACATACCAAGCAACAAATGAGTCATCAGTGTTATTTGTGCCCTCTTTACATTCACTGTGTTTTAAATCTGATATCATACAGTAAAAAGGTCTTTATCTCAAAGTTGATTGACAATACCTCAGTGTGTTTCAGATTCAAGTAGAAGTTGCAGATAAGAAGAGACACAACTGCTTTTGGGTTGTTTAAAATGTTTTTTTTGTTGCTTTCCAACAACTGGGATCAGCTGTTGGTTAGAAATTGCTCTGAGGCTGGTGTTTGTTGGCCATGAGGAAAGAGGCAGCATCCGTTACAAAAAAAAAAATGGCCACACTATTTTTTTTCATACTTGTAGTTTGTTGTAGGCTTCCAGGGCCCTTCCCCGCCACACCGGCATTTCTATGGCTATTCTGTACAGCGGAGTGTCCCCTCTGCTTAGCTATGTACATGTGGGGGACAGCAGCTGGACAGGAGCTGGACAGGAGCTGGACAGGAGGCAATAGTGCTTTTTGTTGTGTGATTGCAAGCTCTCCTTCAGTCTCTCTCTTTCTCCCACTCCTCCTACTCTTCCTTCTCGTTGGCCTGCGAGGGTCAGCGGACCTGGGGAGCGTAGCCCTCCTTCATCAGCCCTTCCTCGTAGTCTGTCTGGCACAGGATCATGTTGTTCTTCAGGAAAAACTTGTCTCCCACACAAAACCTGCACAACACAAAAGAGACAGAGGAGGGAAAGGGGGGGTTTACATAAGCATCAAAGCAAGAATCTCATCATTAGCACTGAGCTGTAGGCTAGCAGGCCTAGCCAGCTGCAACGCTGCCGTGTGCAAGCTAGGCTCTCCTTTAGGAAACAGTCAACTCAATTACAAGGGGGCAAATGCAGGGCTGAGGGGGAGGGGGGGAGGGGGGGGGGTTGGTGGAATAATCTCTGTTTCAAGCCGAGGTTCCCTTTTCAGCTGCAGCTTTTACAGAAACCCCCACCGACCTCGGCAGCGGCCCGTCCAGCCCCAGTTGGGGGGGGGGGGGGTTACGCTTGACCTTTCAGCACAGTGCCAAGTGGAGATTATGTTGAATGCGTAAGAGCAGTAACTCTTCCTGTATTGTCCTGAGGGCTGCTTATCTCTCTCAATGTACAGGTTAGACAAGGTCGGCAAGCAGCGATGCCAGTGTTTACCAAAGGGGAGGTGGAGCTGGGGTTAGGGGATGGGGACAGTGAGCCTCGCCTCCATTTGACTTCCTTGGATGTTAAGACTGCTGAGTTCAGTGCTGGGAGCTGCACACAGCGCATGGAGCTCAGGTACCTGACAAGCTTGGGCTGTTTGCAGCATTTATTAAGGGCTGCAGGGCAGATTGAGAGGCTGATTTGTTACATCCATTTGGGACCAATTAGCAGGATTCAAATACACCGTAGGTGCTGGCGCAAAGTAATACAAAGTGTGAGAATGGTGTGTTTCTGGAAACAAATCCAAATGCTCTGAGGAAGAGCTGACATTTTATTTTGAAAAAAACAGAGCTGAACATTCTGATGAAGGGGTTTGAATTAATGAACATTGCAGTGACATGAGCATTAAAGTCTGTCAGTCACTTATACAATATGTACATTAGGTGACTGCAATCAATTGTTTTCTCACGTCTATTTTAGTTTGACGATGCTTGCACACTTTCATTAACAAACTAAACACAGAAGACTAATATCCATTCATCTACACTGTTTGACACGGTGATTAAACACAGGCAGAGGTGTGCTTCATGTACCGGTGTCATCCTCTCTGATCAAATGACACATTCTCTCCCAGAATGTATTAGGGTCTGTGTCGAGCCCACTCCCACTTTAGCTTTCTCTCCCTTTATTTTTGCACTGCCGCCCTCCCTCTCCGTCATCCTCTTCTTCCTCCCCCCCCCCCCCCCCCCCCCTCACAGCTCTTATCCCTGCCCTCCACTTATTTCACACAGACAAATTGTTTCTGCTCCGTGAAATGTCAACAGCATATGTGACATCTGTGCACCAATTATGATGAGGATATTACACTGTGCCCATCACAGGCGTGTCTAACAAAGGACATTGTGTTGCCCTAGTACTTCCACTTTTTTTAAAACAATTGTAGAAGGCTCATATATTTGTTTGCTGCTCCTGACATTTCAGTAAACATTGGATAACCAGCTAGTTTGTGTAAGTAACTTCTGATATTATACATAATTTAACTATGTACATTTTTCCAGTTTGAGCTTATAAAACCAGCAATGAACCCAAATTCCTCCTGATTTGAGGAACTTATAACCATCATTAAACGCAACTTTTTTTAAACGTTCATTGGCTTTTCCTCACTGTTACCAACACATAGGAAAAGAGAATATATATAATATACATAATCAAGTGAAACTTATGTGTAAGGCATATCTATTTAGGAAAATCAAACACACTTTTAAGGTTTTAATGTATTAACCCTAACCCTACTTTACTTCATTTTCATACAAATCATACCATTCAGTGAGCCCCCAAACCCTTTTTGTTAGCATCTGCTTTGATTATTTTGTATTCATTTACACAAGTTCAGGTTTTTTCCTTTATTTTGTCACTTATATGCAGCGAACACATGTTATTGTGTAAGCTAGCTATAGCTCAACCTTCATTAAAGGCCTCCCTTAACACCACAGCTGCTAGTATCCATATAGTTTTGCCATCATATCATGGTTTCACTGAGCTTCTGCCGGTGCTGTCTTCCTCTCTTCCTGTACTGCCTTCACTTCTCTCCCTCCGTCTTCCTTCCTTTACTTAGAGGTGACTGTGACTAATGAGTCTTTAGAGACCTCTTGTTGTAGGAGGAAGAGAAAGAATGGCTTCCACAGGCACACACTTAAAAGATGTATTGCGATGCCAGCAATTTGCCTCGGAGGCCTGTGTTAACTAGAGTGTTCACTTCCACTCAAATGAAGAAACAGGGAGATTGTCAAAGAGAGAAAATAGTCTCAACTGCACCAAATCTAATTACTGTTGGGATGCATACAGGTTCAGAAACACTTGGCCTGGTGACACTGATGTCTAATTGTAACAGCATGTTGTAAATCTTCTCTGGCAGATTGCTGCTGGGCAATCAGACAGCCGCACAAGGACACACTGAAGATGAGTTTTTTCTTTGGGGACTGTAACATGAAGAACATCATTTCACATATGGAAAGGAGGAGATTGACATTTTTTGTCTCCCTCTTTGGTGTTAACCTCCAATGCTGTTGTGTTTTAACACAATCTGGCGTTATGTCAGGTTTCTATACTGTAGCACCCAAAAAATCAATTGTTAATCAAACAATGTGTCTACAAATGGTGGAAGCCATTATAGCTATGTTGCACCATCCAATTTAATATGACCCTGCCCTGCCAGATTATGAAGTCCAAAAAAAAGTAATGCAACACAGTCAGTCATGAGACATCCTTTTAGAGACATACAGATGCTGACCTTGAAGGATGTGGCCTTGGTTGAAACACTATCTTATCATCTCCATGAGCAGAAATAAACTGACATTTTGTATAAAATATGACATTTTCACTTTATATTGTGCAGGATTACACAGTTAAATTGTGTTCTCTAGTAGGCTGGCTGCTCATGCTCTTACTTCTCCACACCAATCATACACAAAGTGACAACTGTGTCCCTTATTGGCTATTAGGCTCCTGTCTAACAAGCCTTACTCGTGACATACAAGGCACCAGTGGCTAAGCTTAGCTGTGCTGAACCCAATTGGTGTCAGTCTCTCCTTCCCAAGCTCCAGTGTGGAGCATCCTCCCTTATCAGCACTGACCTTCCCCTGCACTGTCACCCATCCTGCTCTCCTTTGCTCCCCTCTACTCTAACCTTCCTTCAGCCTCCCTAGACTGTGGCCTCCAGCTCATCAGGGGGAAATTGGGCCAGCACTGGCTAGATGATGAGGCTGGACGACAGCCCCATCGATTAGCTGTCCCCCAGGGCTGATCTGTGGCTAACTGCTTGCTGGATGGAGTCTCATATCTCTGTCCTTATTCCCAACACCCCACCCCTCACCAACACCTCCTCTCCTTCTTAGAACCAGCCCCCCCGTCCCTTTGCCTCCAAGACCACAGCGGTGCTTCCTCTCCCCAACTCAGGTGGGGAAAATAACAGGTCTGGCTGGTGGGAAGGTCACGACTGCAGATTTATGTCCAGTTTAACAGAGTAAGGCCATGTTGGGTGCAGACATGAGCAATCAGAGCCAATGTAGGATCCTATATTTTCACTGATAGACCAGGGACAGGAGCTATTCACTCCCCTCAGCTTGATACCATTTCAAAGTCATGCACAGAGCGAAGAAAGAGGGAGTAAGGGGGGGCTTTTGCTCTTTGGCAGATACACAAGTAAGATAACTGGTGAGGCTTTTTCCATTTATCTTATTCCTGAAGCAGGTTCAGCTCTCAATGCTTCTTTTCGTGGCAAGCAAGAGATTGCTGCCAATTTGACGGTGATGATGACAAAGAAGAAGCGAGCAGTTGCAGGTCATGATTGCAGTGACATGTCCACTCAGCTGACGGGCCAGTCTCTCGATCTCTGCTGGCCCTTTAACTTAAGCAAGGCCCTTAATAGCTGAAACGATGACCATTAGAGTCCTGCAGTGAGTCTATGATGAAATCAGAATAATCACTGGCTGTTCTTGCTCTGTGGGATACAGTAGGGTGGTTGTACCCACAAAGCAGCTGATGGCGTGGATACATGCATGACTGAGTATGTTTGTGTGTGGTGGGGGGGGGGGGGGCTGTATGTTCATACTTGATTGGAGCAATTCAACCTTCAAACGGCAACATGGGCCGCGGCTGACCTGCAGGAGTGCCGGATAATTACAATGTTTGACCCCTGCTGACCCCGCGATCGCCTGCTCTGTTTATCAGATTTCACATTTTCTGATGACGTTCCGCAGAGAAATCTCTTGGCCATTTGTGAGATGGATTAGATTGCTTTATTGAAGGGCCCGTAGGGGGGGGGGGGTCGATGGGTTGCTTTCATGTTTGTTTGAGGCTGGAAAAACGTGAGGGGACAGAGCTGGTGTAGATGAACAAGGCAGCAGATCGGTATGCTAGACAAAGACTAAAAAGCCCATTTCCAGGCAACAAGACGCTGAGAAACTATTCAGGAAATCTTGAGTGAGATCTCCTGATAGATCTCAGGCTGAGGCTGGGAACATTTGTAAAAGGTCATTCTATTAATCTGGACATAAATGTTAAAATACTCAAACTAGATTCATTTACCAATGCTGTGGTCATCATTGAAAATCTATTAAACCTGCTCTGAACCTTTCAAATCGTAATGGACAGATGTCAATTAATTCACTAAGTCTGATTTATGACTACTGAGAAAAAACTATTGGCTGTAAAATATTTGGCTGTTTTTGAGTTATAATTTCTGATCCAAGCTTGATTTTGAAGTGTACAAACCCAATAAAATATGTTTTGTGAACTCATGAACTTAAGGCAAACAGATTGATCCTTTCAATTCATATTAATTTAAGTATTTCTCCCCTAACAGTTCTACCGATGTTGCAAAACAAAATGGAAAACAAAAAGCCAGTGCTGAGGAACAGCTTCAATTAAAGCGTTGCCACACCATAAATCTTGGCCAAGCCTCGGAGAAATTGTGATGGGCATCTGAACGGTGCTTTCAAGGCCACAGCGGACCATGTGAAACACACTGACGTCGATTTTATTCAACAGTTCATCAACTGGCCTAATGTAAAAAGAAAGATTTGCTCGCACTTTAATGGGTTTTAATGTGGGAGAGCTGAGTTGGCCTGCCTGGGCCCGGCTGATGAAGATTAGCTGACTTCTTCCATTAGGAGAGGCTGTCTGGTGCAGCCGGCTGAAGTGGCAAGACAATAACCGAGTGCTAATTGTGCGTAACCAGGTCCTTTGCCTTTAGCATGCGCAATGTGTCTGGTTGGTGAGTGTGTGTGTGGGGGCCTGTGTGTCTGCTATAAAGCCACGTTTGGGAAAAGAGGTGAGAAACTAAAAGGAACTCCGGCCAACACATAACCCTCCTGATGTTTTCTGTTTAATGGTGTTTCTGTAACCTTCAGAAAACCTTTGATTACATTATGGTTTGTTTACTAGCTCCAAGAATGTTCCTTCACAAACAACGTTCCATCATAGTAACATGGGAACATGGATCTTTGGAGGAATGTTTGGGGAAAGTTCCTGGTAAATTCCCATAACTATTCACAGGAATGTTTTACATGTGTGGAGAACACTTTTAAAAAGGCCCAGGATGTGCAGGGCTAGAGGCTTTAGCTGATTTAAAAAACGAGTTTGTGGGACTTTCTCAAAGTAGCCTTGAAACATGTTTTTTGCAGCTTTTTAGGAGATTAGCTGTGTGTTACATAACCTATTCTGTCATGTTTTACTCGTCCAACTACTTGCATCACCATGAATCCTGTGGAGAGGAGACACCATCATCTCCATTCGTATAGTTTTTTTCATAATAAGACTACAAATACATGCACAAGTATTCAAGATTCCTTCAAAGGGACTAAGGGGCAATGGGATGCAGTCATGGTTGTATTGAAATCTCTTGTGTACTTGTGAATTTAAAGGAGACACTTCATACAGCTAAAAAGACCAATGTTGCAATTAGCAGTAGTACTTTTTCAATGGTCGTTCAAACTCCACCGTCATTGTGTTTGCGGGTGGGGGGGGGAGTGTTTGGGAGAGAAATATGTATTCGTTTCCTATTCTTTCTTTAACCATGTAAATGATTGTGGACAACAGCATTGAACTCAGATACTGAGTATGATTAGATTCTCAAAGATAAGCTATATAGCAGGACTGTTGTATTGGGTTCCAATCAATTGTAGCAGCGTACATAATGAACTCATTTTAAGTGGTACCCGAGAGACTCGCTGAGGGTAACAATGGAGTTTATTAAACAAGGGTTTTTCTATCACTGAGTTCAATGCTTCCAAAGCTGCACCCTCGTCTCTGCTGGCTGTGGTAAGAAACAGTTCTCACAAAATCTCTGACCACACTGTCGACAGGCAGAGGCTCAGTAATGAAGACTGATGGCCAGCATAATGAATGCACATGTAACTGCACCTGTACATCCAGGCTGACACTGTACAGTAGTAATGCGGGATTATAATCACTGTGCTAGGTCCAGCAGGTGTCCCTACGGCCCCCGGAGGTGTCTTGTTGGTCACTGGTTAGAGAGATAAATCTATGATATGGGATCTTTCTTCAACTTTCAGCGGCACTTGAGATTCACTACGCCCGCAATCTTGCTTCCCTGACCAGCCATCTGCCTAGGCACAGGGATGGGAGAGGAGCAGCGGCGAGGTCCAATCACTCACCTCTGATTGCAGAGCTGGCACGCGAAGCAGTCCAGGTGGTAGACGTTCTCCTTGGCCCTCATGACCATCTCGAAGGCTGGAATTAGCTTGCTGCAGGCTGCACAGTTCCCCGTTACACCAAATAACCTGAGACACACACACAAAGAAGACGTATGATGCAAGTGAGCCTCAGTACACGACGGCAAGTCTGGCAGGTGTATAGGTTATCTTAGAACAGGGGGAAATCACATACTGGCATTATGATAGGGCATTTGTTTATTTGACTTGGTTTTAGGTGTTTGTGTTATTTTCTCTTTTCCAAGTTGCCCTCTGACTTTTGATTGCAAGATATGCCATTCAACATACAACTTAACAGCATTCTAAAATAAGTTTGGAGTATTTGTGCAGTATTAAACATGTCGTTAACAATGTACATTGACACACAAAAAAAGAGTCGCTAAGGTTGAACCAAACCACGATTCCTTTGGATCATGATCTGGCAGAAATGGGAGAACGTTGTTATTACGTTAGAGAAGGAAATTCAAATAAGTCAGCGTTGACTTTTTAGCTTCGCACCAGTCTCTTAGTGTGTTTTTGTTACTTTAAGTTTAGAATTTGTGAATTTGACTCCCAGCCTTGCATCACCATTATAACCAGAAACACTCCAAACATAATTTACAAGAGAATTAATACTTGTGCTATGCTGTGTCTCTGAGAATGGAGTGACCGCCGTCAGAGAGATTGCGGTAAACACACTAACATGAGCTGCTGACACAGATAGGGGCTCTGAATCAGGCTCTAAAATAGGTTGGACAGAGCTGGGCAACAGTAGCGGAGTAAAAAATAGCAGAGCCACAGCTTGTGCTATCGAAATAGATGGGACATGGCTAGCATTACTGCCCAGGGAGGACCCTATTATTTATTCGCCTGCTCCAGGGACCTTAATGTGAGTATTCATTAGGGATTCAGGGCTGTTACTACACAGCGACACAGACCAGACTAGCAAGGGAAAAAAAAAAATATATCTGATAACGAAATCATATAACAAAATAACCTATTAGGCAGACTTCTTGAGGCACTTTTAGCCGTCGTTGTTAAAATGATAAAACGGCATGCCACTCTCAAAGTCTGTAAGAGATCGCAATCTGATAAATGATCTCAGGGCTTGGGAAATGCAGGGTTGTTTATTAACCTTCAGAAAGTATGTTTCCCAGAGGCAAAGGAAGCAGATAGATTGTGCCCTCATGAATATCTACAGAATTAAGAGCCACTGTCAACACACCTTGAGACAATGAAGGATATCTCTTGTAACATGGTAGGTGGGAGAAAACAAAGAAGGCCAATTCAATGGATTAGTGCTGACTTAATTAAAAGAATTATGCCTTTTCCTTTGAGCAATCTAAATTTAGATACATTTGTGGTATCTCTTGTCCTTTCTCTTTTCCGCACAAATGTGCATTGCCAGAGGGCCTTCACATGAAATAGATATTTCATCTATTTCTCTTCTCACAAAGCAGAGTAATTGATTTAAAAAAACCTTTAAAAAAAGAACAGGAAATGATAGATTTAGTGCAAGATAATGAGCAAGAGTGTTTGAGCAGAACAGCCGCACTTTGTACGGCATCATACGACAAAGAGTCACAATGCGGCCGCCTCTCGCTGTGCAGGGGCAAATGTCCTTGTCTCAGTCATCTGAGTCATATTCAGATAGCATGCACTCAAGGCTCCGTATCATAAATGATGGAAGGTATTTGTGTTAAAAAATGATGTTTTCGGCTTACTGCCGGTATTCTATCCATGCTCTTCTCTCATCTTGTGCAAATCTGAGGTGGCCTGCACAGCTTAAAAATACTGTCACACTACTTTGCTCTCCGAAATTCTGGGTAAAATGCATTGCATCCGTGAACAACCAGTGTTCATGAGTTTCCCCCAACCGGTCGACAACTAGGCCAAAAAAAAGTCGTACTTAAATGTAATTTTTTTACACACTGCAAACTCACAAATTGATGAAAGGAAATACAATTGTTTTTACATTTTACAGATGGTGTAGGGTTTCAAACTTGTGTCATGTATATCTGATAAAATATTCATATAAATAAAAAAGTGATATTTAAAAGAACCATAAAATAAAAATACGAAGTTGTTCAGTATCTCTAACATGACATTATCATATGCTGCTTTCCATTTAAGTCTCACTACATCTCAGACACAGCTAACAGTGAATGTATTACAGAAGTGACTCTGTAAGACAATGATATAGCTTCAAAAAACCCTAACCCTTATATATTTCTTAGCTAATACTTGCATCAATTTTTCTTACAGAGGAAATGGAGTCTGTATAAGATAAATAAATAAAAACCCTAACCCTATCAACCAGGTTTCCCAACCAGATCATCTGAACTCCTGGTTGCTTCTCGTCAAATGTTGCTGCACAATTCATCCTGTACCCTTTCTGTTAACACTGCTCAAAATGATTAAACACCATTACATTGGAAAAACACATACATTCACTCTACACTCAAATCAAACCGTCTTTTTAGTGTTAACGACAAGCTGAGATAAAGAAGTGGAGCGGCTGATACCAGTCTACAGAGATTTAGGCAAACTGTATCTGTGGCAGCGCCAGCATGTAGCCAGGCGGCTCGCTGGGCTCTTGTGTGGCAAACGCTCTTCAAACCGGCAGCGCACAGGAAGCCTCAGCTCACCCTGTGGGGAGGGAAGATGGATGGAGCGTACCTGCCACTCGTCTTTTGCCGCTCCGCCAGTTTGATGCCACAGACGCTAATGGCTCTCAGGGGAGGAGGCAAATTAAGCGTGGTTTGGTTGCAATGAATTCAAAGGCACAGCCTTAAACACAATCAGAGGATGACAGTTTAGAGGCCTCGTGTGTAAGACCCAGTGCCTGAGACTCAACGCTCTCAGCACTGGATTATTATATTCTAGTAATAAATATATACATTTATAATGCATCTCTCACAGGCTGATGTGTGTACAACTGTCTGCCATACCTTGAAGGCTTCTAACTGTGGTCTGCTTGAATGGAAACAGAATAACATATGTAGAATAGCAGGCTTGACATACACTTCATATCCATGGCTGACAAGACAGCATGTTTATTTAAAAAGGTTGAAGATACAACATGAAATTAAAATTCATGCCTTGCTGAAATCTGAATTTGAAAGAGAATAGAGGCAGTCAGCGGCCAATACCTTGTTTTAGTCAAAAGGCATTCACTGTGCATTACAGCCTGGTACGGCTCAGTGGTACCTATTTGATGAGAGAAAAACAGACACCAATTAAATTATTCCACAAGGCTTTAGCCCAGTGGACCCCAAAACCCAATCGGAGAGTGCAGGCCCCCGCCCCTTGTAGAGAACGCTGGAGCGGTGTCATGCCAATGCTTTTCCTCAGCTAAATCCGAAATACAATGACCGCCAATTACTGGGTTCTAGGAAGCCAAATGCATTATCCTGGAATATATACATGTAGCGACACAAATGCAAACAGGGCTGACGGTGGAGTGGTTATCGACAACTTCAAACCATTTTAAAACAGCCCCAGTGAACATTGACACTGTTTCTAGAAAGTGACTTTTATTGCCGTGAACAACACATAATACATTTTGTTTAACATTATTGCAATTGCAGGAATCTTGGAAAAAACCTGAACAGGCAAAATAAGAAATACCACTAGAGGAAACAGATAAATGTTTTTGAACGCTGCCTAAAAAACGAACTTTGGTCCAGAGGATTGATCAACTCCTCTATCGTTTACCTGACTATGTATTCCAGTAACATAAACGCCAATTCTTCGTCAGTGTTAAACCATTTTTGTGATTGGGGTGCGCGGGGGTGGGACACTGATAGCACCGATGTCTCCAGTTGCCGTTTGAAATTCCGGTGGCAGCTTTGCTCTCCTCCTCCCTCCCCCATCCCCGTCTCTCCCATCCCTCCCACCACTTCAATTGCTCCAGCCTCGGCATGCATTCATCAGCTGCCGGATTAGAATTTGTTTCCTCACAAACCATTGATCATCGGCCTATTACTAGGCAAATGACAGTTAATTACCCACTACATTAACCACCGGGACCCGGGGACCGACTCCCTGTGCCATCAGTCAACATGATGAATGTGGCAAGTTCAGTAATGCACGGCCGTTCCCTCGTCCGCCTGCCACGCTGAGAACAACCCCTGGATCTCACTTCCAGGCAACCAGGGAAAATCTATGACAATCTGCATAATCACAGGCTCAGGGTTAATAACAGACAAATGATTCGTTGCATCTCAACATAGGCTTTTTTAATGGGGACCGTGCTTTGTCCACTTGATGATCTACCCCGGCGTTCCACTTGGAATTTAATCACGGTGAGAGGCTTATGGTTTGGATGTGCAAACAAGAATGTGTCCAAAAAAAGAGAGGCAAGAAATAGTTGCCCATAAATGCTTCATCTCAAGAAAATCTTGACATGAGCAGGAGAGCACAGAAACAGAAGGGGTTGCAGAAATCTAAAGAACTGATGTGAACTGTCGCAGTCGGGGGAGGGGAGACAGTTAAGGGTGGCAGATGTAATCAGACTTGTGCGTTCCTCAATTTTGTCCGCCCTGCGTGTGAGATTGTCAGTGATTAAACAACTCTGGGGGCAAAATTATTTCAATTACCACGGGCATGACCTGGGAATTGTCCCTGGGATAAGATTTTCCTCCTTGAGTGCCCTGGACTTGCCTGGCTGCCGGCTCTATCAGTTCTCATCTGCACCTGGACTCTGATATCCTAATGATGAATTATGGCCTGCTTTCTGAGAGACTGCCGACCATACAGAGGAACATTCCCCTGAACTGTCAGCCTGAAGAGCAGCTGCAGAGTGCTACCTAATTAGCTCCTATAGAAACTCCTCGAAAAGGTCGAAAAACACCCACCAGTCCACATTACACCACTCCACGCTTCTCTGAAACTGAGAGAAGAAGAGATAAACTACTGATGGCAGTCCTGTCCTGAGTAACTACCATCAAATTACATGTTTTACCTCACCCATTAAGAGACCATTCCTTTTCTTTAACCCTTAAATCTACTCATCCGTTAGATCACATAGTACTTGGTAACAATTTACCAAAGTTCATCTGCCCATACACTCAAAACAACTATTAAAA